TTGTAAAATTGAGTTTCTTCAGGCCTCTGATTCTCTGGGCCTTTGTAGTTTGTCCAAAAGGAAATCCAAAAACAAGAATCAAGTAATCTTTTGCGTATGGAAATCAAAATATGTATACATATATTATTAACACTACATCAACCTTTTTATGTAAATAAACTTTGTTTGTACAATGCCTTTCACAGACTAGAGCTTTACAATTGCTGTGGGCATTAGTCTCTCACTCCACACAGAGATGGGAGCTAGGTTGCCAGTACAGAAGGTGCATGCCAGAGCTATTGTACATGTTTTTAGTGGTAGTGGAAACTGGAGCACCTGGTGGAAACCTATGCAGACTCGGGGAGATCAAACAAACTCCAGTCAGAAAGTTTCTGTTCCGACCGGGTTTCAAACCCAGGACCTTCTTGCTGAGAAGCGAATGCTATCCGCTCAACCATCGTGCCATATTTTGCCTCTGAGGTACTATTTCAAAATGTTTCTTGCCAGCTGGGCCTTACTTTTGGAAATGCATGCTATAATACAGGATACACTACCACCAAAAAGTCATGTGTACCACAGTTTGAGAAACAAAGTCGTTTTTAAATCCAAAATAACTTCACTTAACTAATTTACATGCGGTCAGCAAAAGTACACATTAAGCCCCTGGCCAAGTTTGCCCTAAGTGACAAGAGCTGCGCAGGTCAAAACATTCTCAATTATACTGTGTGCGTTCTTTTATCTATGTGAGGCCATGTCTATGTCGCTTTTTGTTTACACTAATTAAGCTGAGGCGTAATTAGAGCATAATGAAGTCTGCTGTAATAACTGAAATCTCATCAAGTGCCTGTCTCAGTGCACAGAATAACAACATGTACAAAAGTCAGGTTTGCAAAGATTACCAGATATATAATGATCTGTTTTGTGATTTGAAACAGATAAGGCCAAAAAAAACCCGGAAAATTAGCATTTAAATTCTTGGTTTTTAAACAAAACATTTTTGTTAACAGACGGATGTCAGACACCAGGTGACCAGGTGCCAAAGGCTGCAGCTGTAAATTGCTAAACTATACCTTCCTATGTCCTTAGGCAAGACACTTCCACTTCCCACGTTGTCTGGCGTGTGCGTGAATGGTTGTTGGTGGTTGGGGGGGTCTGTGCCGTATCAGCCGGTCCTTACACACACCCTTTACACACCATGCACCTTACTGTTCACTGGCACTTTTATGCACCAGTAATTTTTACATTGCTAATTTGTATATTAAATCATTTGCACAGGATTTTCATTTTAAAACATTTATGGGAAAACTTGTTGCCCGTTGGTACGGTTGGTAAAATCATGATTGGGAAGGTGCTGTTTTTAGAATTGGCAATGTTTTAGGTGTTGCGAGCATGCGGTAAATGGTTTGGATGTGTGAATGTGTATGTGTGAGTGTAGTTCACTCACCTTGACTCACTCACTCCTCTTGTGTCCAGGGTGGCAGTATCGGTCGAAAAGATTCCCCAGGGAACAGACGCCGCGAAAATGCGTTCCGGGCTGGACCAAGGGGAAAAAAAGAGATAGAGGGTGGCTGCCGGGTGTTAGTTCTTAGTTTGTATTGTTGGGTTGTGTTGTTTGGGAATGTTTGCAGTAAACATTTCTATCTATTATTGTTATGTATTTTATTGGAGAGTTTTAAAAGCTAATTTTAATATTAAACCTGCTTAGCAATGAGTGATTTTTTCCTGTTTAGAGGGAGTGTATTTAAGGCGCCATATACTCTCAGTCGAGGTTCTGCTGCTGGAGAAGCCACATGTCAATCCTCCAATGCACTGGAAAATATGTTTTTAAACGTGGACCACCGAGACTGCCTCCCTGGTGTTTTTGTTTCTCACCACCGTTCGGTCGTGCTGCCTTGTCACAGGGACAATGGAACATTCTAGTCGCCTCGCTTAAGTCAGTTTGCCCCAGGGCAGCTGTGGTTAATCAACGCTGTATGGAGTGAATGAATAATGACATGCAAAGTGTTTGCCCATTAATAATGATGCATTGCTTTTTAAAACCAATGCATTATTACTTAAACTTAAATATTTGTTGGATCTTAATGTAAAACACTTCATTAATCTTGCAGCCTTTGTCTGTATGTGATGTTCCTTTGAGAAGCACTTCATTTGTATGTAAAACATGCCTATCACCGCATGTGAAGCTACCTGCCATCCCAGTAATCAGAAAGTTAAACATGCCAACCCGCACAATGGTTTCCCATCAGCCTCCTGTGACCGGCGGAGATAACGAAGTGTCCTTGAGCTATACGCTGCGCTGCATATGTTTAACACTGTATGGATTAGTTTAGGGAAGTGACTATATATACGTTTGATGCATATTTAATATCCATACATCTCCCAGTGTTGCGAAAACATGGGTTTGATAAAGACGTCATTCACACAAAGACATTGGCTTTGAAGGATAAAGGATCGAGCTATTAGGCATGCAGGCAATTCCCAGCAGATGGAAGGTGTGTGCAGAAAGACTGATTGGACATTTGTTGAACAATACATGAGAGACACACAATGATAGGAGATGGAAAAAGTGTTTTATGTAATGGATAAAAAAATGTGGCCTCGAAATCGTATACATATTCATTGTCCTGTTGACTTTTATCAGTGCATCATTGTGATTACTGTGAAGGTTTCTGTCAATAACTAGAGCTTATAGAACCCTGTGCAGGTTTTCATGAACAAAGAGGGACCAACAAACGAAAGGGTTTGTGTCATAGGCCTAGTCTGCCATGGCCACTCCTCCAGCGAAGTCAAACCATGCATTATGTCATGGTTGTCATTTTCAGTTCCGGTTTTATTTGGTATAGTCTGTTCTCCTGTGTCTTTTTGAGTTTTACTTGCCCTGATGTGTTACACCTGTGCCTCCCAGTTAAATACCCTGTGCTCTTTTGCTCTTTGTCAATCTATTAAGTGTTTGTTCTGTGGTTCTTGTTTTTGTCCTCTCTTCCTGAGTTTTAATTTAAGTTGAATTTTGTTTTTGGATTATTGTTTAATAAATTATCATTTTGCAGTTTTGTATTTTGGGTCCTACCTCCTTTTTTGAAGCATGATACATACCCCTTATCTGTTCTCTATAATATGATACTCATAAGTCTGGACACTTATTGATAATCTGCACTGTTAAATGTCTATTGTGTGAATTGATGTATTAGAATTTATTACGATTTTATCTTGCTTGCACCAAGAGCCAAAGCAAATGCCAAGTTTGTGACGTCCTTTTACTTGCAATGGTAATAATTGTGATTCTAATCTACAACCCCTGTGGCTCTTTTTAAAATGAGTGGATACATTCTTGTCCTTTCTGAGTGGAGTTTGCATGTTGTCCCATTGTCTTTATAGGTTTCCCACAGTTGCCCTGGTTTGAGATGCTCAGATTTTTGACGTCTCGCTTCTGTCATCACGGATTCTGGGGATTATTCATATTAATAAAAATGATTAACATATCACTGATTCAGACAAGAATAAACCAAGGGGCTCAGTGTTGGCAGTGAGAAGGATAAAGTGAGAGCAATGGGGGCACGTGTACATAGGAACGCAATATGTCAAACATGCACCAATTGTGTGTGTGTAAATGACAAGAGAAAACGACTAAAACATGACCAAAAACTTCAATCATGTCCCCTTTAATTTGAATATATGAACGAGAGATATTCAAAATGTGCCATTTAAAGTGGTAGCTTTAATGTGTATAAACTATAATAATACTACTAAACTTTGCATTTTATGTTGTTTTGAAAAGGTAAACTAGGTCACCTGATTTCCATGTGCACATTCTTCTTAAACTTCACCCTTGAGTGAAAATGTGTGGGCTGTATTGAAACATTAAGATGTGATACACCTTCACCGCATTTAGAGCTTATTATTTTGCAGAATGGTTTGAATAGTTTTTTCATATTTCAAATGTATTTGTTTTTTTTTCAAATCAAGATATTTCTATCCCGACACCACACTTGAATCCTCCTTGTTCTACACACCGGCGCTCATCTGCATCGCCCTCAGCAGCTGCAGTTCAACAGTGTCTGTATAAAGCTGATGTTTGAGCAGAAGGACTTTCTTGGTGTCATTAGCTCTCGTTCAGATGAACCTCACGCCTCCACTGTCCCAGTCCAGAACACCATCCAGCCAGATCACTGCCCTCTCTGCTGCCGTGACTTCCAACAGTCTGTCTCTGCATTCTCCAGGTTAAGAGGCCCACTCTCTGCTGCTTTGTCGGTCGGCGGATTCATCCACTTAAATCCTCAGCAGGCATCATGCTCCTTTATGCTGCTGCTAAAAGGTGAACTACCTGATTTTCAAACTTTTCACCACTATGGTACGATAGTTTGGACTTGGCGATTAGGATCATTTTCAGATTTATAATTTCTAAAGTTTTTGCTGACAAACTGTTACACCAACTAATAAGAGTGTCACTATAGTGCTGGATAGCAGAAGGACGACACTTGAACACAACAAAAACAAGGGCAAAACCAGGACCAACAATAGCCGCGTTTCCACCGCTGAAACTTCGGGCGATTTTTTACACGGCCAACCCCGCTGGAGCGTGTCCCCATTGCAGGAACCTTCCCCACAGCGCCATTTACAGAAACTTTCACCAATGAAGTTCCAGGGCGGGGCTTGAGCTAAACCCGGCGCTGCAGCTACAGCAGGCTCTGACACCATCAGAAAGCACCAACAACCGGCATTTTTTAAATCCAGCAGCATTAGCCCAGCAGATACCACTGGAAAAAGAAAAAAAAAAAACATGTACAATGAATGGACAGATGACGAGGGGCAAGCATTGATTGCTTTTTACGGCACCCAAGAAGGAAATTCAGTGGGGGTTTGAGTCATCGTGGCAAAATGAAAAAATATATCGCTCACCATCAGGGGATCCATCATGCACCAAAACAATGCTGTTAAAAGTTAAAGAAACTGAAGCAAGACTGTAAGAAACTGAGTGACCACAACAACCGGAGCAGTTCCGACCGTAAAATAAAATGGTACGGTCAGCTCGACGCCATCCTGGGACACCAGCCAGCATACACCGCGAACCCAGCTACTGAGGACTGGACCCCACAGTCCCAGCCGACATGGGCCATGACTGAAGCAGTGGAGGAGAGCCCTGGCAGGCCGTCGTCGTGTCCTGATGAGCCTTTGTCTAAAGATAATAACAGCATTTTGATTGTTCTGTTCGGTAGTGTTGCTAAGAACGCAAACGTTAGCCTATTGTTAAACATACCACCCTGAGCCGATGGGGGTGGACCCGGAATAAGAATTAGCCAATGCTAACATATAGCATCTTCTTACCTCTCGAAAACGTCTTTACAGGATGGTCCAAAAGTTTACTCTTGGCCCAAAGCTCCGTTCCACATGTGTGTCAATGCTGAGGGGAGTGAATTTTTTTGGACCAGTCTAGTTTAGTCCCAGTGGAATTTTGAAGGCACTCGTTAAATGAATGGGGCTCGTGCTGGCTAACGCATGCGCAGATGCGTTTTTTCACATTTTCCAGCCCCCGCAGCCATTTTGAAACTGCCCATAGACGGCGGAAGTTGTGGCGCATTAGTTAGAACGGTGGAGACATTAATGGACGTAGTCACGCCTATTAATATTTACAGTCTATGGTTGCCCAGCACTTAACATGCAGGAGCAAGAAGACTGGCCTGTTTCCTAATTGTGTTTTTACTGAAAGCTATTCACGTTTCTCATGTGTGGTCAAAGGGCTGGAGATCACACAGGGCTCGTTTATGGAGCCGCCGGCCTCCTGCAGCACCCCTTGTCCTTCTGAGTCATCGAAACGCATTGGGGACTATAAAGTTACAGGTAATCTAGAACGGGTGTGAGCAGATACACTTTTGTTATACACTTACTTTGCCAAAGACCTTCCTCCACGTTTTGGATATTGTTGTAAACACAGATTCACTTAACAAGCTAGACACATTTAATTACGCTTATGTGTTCTGACAAGAGTGGCACCAAACTAATTTAGTTTTCTATTTTATTTTTCTACAGGGAAGGGATAAAGGAATGTTGATTTCGATGCACCGAGGGAGCTGGGGGAGGAAGACAGGAGGGAGGCCAGACAGCATCGCGACCTCCTCCTCCTGAAACAGAGAACATGAGGAGCGGGCAGCTGCTGCACGGGAGATGGACCACATGCTCTACGAACAGGAGGATGAAGCATCGAGGAGACAAATGGCTGAGTTTCAGCAAGGGCTTCTGGCTACTGTTGGGGCCCTCTATAAAACTCGGTCCCAGCCTCAACCTCCTCCCTTGGACGACATTTCTGCACTTTATATCTCGGCACATTCATTTGATTTGTTTTCTGTTTTAGAGGTTTGCACATTTTTATAGTTGTGTGTTAAAATAAAAAAAGTTTACATGCCAGCAGTTGGTTTGTGTTTTATTTACAAAAATAAACTTTAAAAGTAAGAATTACAGCAAAGTATAACACAGAAAAACAAACTTTTTACAGTCATTTGTAACCTTGATGTGGGGTTTAGTTTACACACACAACTTTTATTTTTTTAAAGTTGGGTCTACGTCATATAATTTTGTTAGCACGTTCAGGCATACACATTCAGATTGTGTGGCTTTAAAAGGACAATGACAGTGAAAACATCAAATGTAGCTGCTTTTATGACCAGGTTTTTAATAATTATGTGTAAACACGTCTGCTTCTGAAAAGTAATTAAGATTCAGCTCATTATGATGTGCAATTAAAAAGAAATTATAAATTAATAACGATCGTGATTACCGCCTTTGTCACCATTGTTTAGAAAATAATCTTCTCACTTATACTCCCTTCCAAAGTGTCCAAAATAATTTTAAGTCAAACACAGATCGAAATTTCCACCGCAGCTACACAGAATATAGCATCAAGAAAACATCGTTAATGTGACAAATGTGTGTATTCTACTGTCTCTACTGACATGACAATAATGGGAAATACAACAGTGACGTTGATGACTTTGTGAGAGCTTATCTCGGTGTTATCCCCGCTGCTCCTGTCTGCACAAGTCAGGGCATTTTTGTTTTATAATGTAATAATGCTAGTGGAGCATGAAATGTCATCCTCCACACAGTGTCCCCTGAGGGCCCCGAAGGAGGGGTGAGGAGGCTGACACTTCTACGTCATGGTGCTACGTCCCTTAGGACTTCGCTAGTGGGATATCACTCGTGACCCCCAGGTCACACGCCAGAGAGATCAAAATAATTTGCTCCAATCACCAGCCACCCTCCTCTATAAATGCCCCTGCACAAGGCCGCACCCCCTCTTTCACTCTGGCGCCGTTTGAGATCTACCACAGTACTTACTTCATTCTGAGATGTCTTCCTTGTTCGTCCGAGTTCCCTTCGCCCTCCGGCGTCGGACGTCGTCACTGGATCCAGACGGTGGAGGACTTCACCTCTGTGGGCGCCACCACTCGAGGGAGGAGGAGGATAAAACCCACGTTGTGCCCGCGGATGGACCCGTTCGTCCATTACGCAACACGTGAGTGGCCTAAGCCCCTAGCAGCCAAGAGGCCTGCTCTGGGGTACGACATATACTGCAGCGGGCAGGACTGGTCCTGGACCGGTGATCGAGGATTCAGTCCGCATGGCCCTGCAGCCCTCCGCATCCGTGTGGCCCGGCACCAGACCTCTCCTTCTCTCCGAGCGGGACAAGATGTCTTGCCGAGGCTGGATAGATATATTGCCAATGCGGCACAGGTCGTCACATTGGCTATCAACATGACTTTCATCACGGGGGCCCTGGATAGGGCGCTCTCCTCTGGCCAGGCGCTCAGTGGAGACCTCCTGTCACAGGCGAGGACCACCTCGGCGGCGTTCCTGCGCATGTGCCAGACGCTAGCCGTGGATGGTGGCCAGGACACCGAGGATTCAGTCCGCATGGCCCTGCAGCCCTCCGCATTCGTGTGGCCCGACACCAGACCTCTCCTTCCCTCCGAGCGAGACAGGATGTCTTGGCGATGCCGGATAGATGTTATGCCATTGCAGCACAGGTCCTCGCATTGACTAACTACAGGGCATTCATCACGGGGGCCCTGGATATGTTGCTCTCTTCTGACCAGGCGCTCAGTGGAGACCTCCTGTCAAAGGCGAGGACCACCTCGGCGGAGTCTCTGCGCATGTGCCAGACGCTAGCTGTGGATGGTGGCCGCTCCATGGCAGCAGCCCAAGTCGGGCCAGGCACCTTTGGCTTGGGCTGGCTAATATCAGGGAGGCGGAGAGGAGGCAGCTGCTGGACCTGCCCACCTCTCAGATGTCCCTCTTCGGCCCGGACATGCAGGCCTGGGTGGCGAGACTGGAGTCTGCAGCTAAAGACTCGGCTAGGCTAGCCCCGCACCTAGCACCGAGGCGCGAGGCCCACCAGCCATTACGGAGCCGGGACAGAGGCAGAGAGCGTTGGCCCGGGAGGCATCCTGACCCGTATCCGCGCTCTGTTATCCATCGTCCCCCCTTGACGAGGCCCCCGGGTCCAGACAGACCCATGGGTGGCTCGCGGGAGCAACGCACCCACCACCGACCTCCCTATGGTAGAGGAGGCCGGGGTGGAAAAAAATTTTTTCCTTCAATAAAGGCCGACCGGCATTTCCATTACTTTTCTGAGTCTGATTTGGGGGTATGTAACATGTCAAATATTGTGAATTCTGATTGTGTTACTTCCCGGGCACATAACGTTGCTTCGCTAGGCCTGCAGCCCCAGAGAGGGGCGTGCAGTGCACTACGAGCTCCGGTTTCTCTGATCCATACTATGCCCTCCCAGAGAGAGGTCAGGCGGAGGGATCTGGTGAGTGATATGTGTGTGCTTCGGCCGAACGCGTGTTAGCATTTCTGAGCTACAGGGCTAACACGGGGTTTCCCACTCCAGGGGCTCGCCCCCCCCCTCCATGAGGCAAGAGCCAGGGGGGGGCACAGCAGCCGAGTCACGTGTGGTGAGCAGAGCTACAAGGCTGACACGGAGTTTCCCACTCCAGGGGCTCGCCCCCCCCCGCCATGAGGCAAGAGCCAGAGGGGGGGCACAGCAGCCGAGTCACATGTGGTGAGCAGTCCCGTACTTATGACGTCGGGCCTGCAGGACACGTGACCGCCCCCGGCGCTCACGGTGTGACGCAGGGGGCCCCCCGGTCCTTTCGTCCACCCCCCCTCCCTGCTAGGAACACCAGGAGAGGGCGGGGCCGTGACGTCTCGTGTTCCATCTCCCGTTCCGCCCCTCACAGATTTATACAACATCTGGAGGGTGCAGGGCCTACTGACAAATATTTGGCTGGAGAAAACTCTGCGCAGAGGTTACGCGCTGCAATTTTTCCGAAAGCCACCACCATTCCGAGGCGTACGGGCAGTACGCTCTCAGGTACGGGGATCGACAGAGGCACTACAAGCGGAGGTCTCCTCTCTGCTGAGTCGAGGCGCAGCAGTGGAGGTAGACCCGCAGGACGCCACCAGGGGGCTGTACTCCCCTTACTTCTTAGTGCCAAAGAAGTCAGGCGGGGTGCGTCCCATTCTGGATCTGCGCGTGTTAAACGAGTGCATTTCCAAACGGCAGTTTCGGATGCTGTCCACAAGGCAGCTCCTCGAGTGTGTCAGGGAAGGAGACTGGATGTGCTCCATAGACCTGACAGATGCGTACTTCCACGTGCCGATAGTACCGGAACACAGGAGGTTCTGCGCTTCGCAGTGGGAGAGAGGAATTACGAGTACTGTCGTTTTCCCCTTGGGCTACGCACTCGCGCCGTGGAGCAGGGGTAAGAATTAATCTACATAGACGTCGGGTTAATTCTGGCCTCATCCAGGGAAGTGGCCGTGAGTCATACGCACTGGGTCCTGTCCCACACACAGCGCCTGGGCTTTGTGGTTAACAGGGAGAAAATTAACAGTTACCTTGTAACTTAAGTTCTACGAATAGGTGCACGTGATATCCCACTAGCGAAGTCCGCTAGGGGACGTAGCACCATGACGTAGAAGCAGGCTGCAACCGGCTCAGCGCATGATCTATCTCGGTCTGCAGCTAGACTCTGTGACATTCCGTGCTGCATGGTCCGTGGACAGACGGATGAACACTACCCGTCTGCCCGGGGAGGTTCTGGCGGGCCCCAGAGTTCCCGCTCGGCGCCTCAGGTCCCTACTGGGAATGATGGCGGCGGCTCATGCTGTGGTGCGGCTAGGCCTTCTCCACATGAGGAATTTTCAGAGGTGGTTCTCACGCCTCAGGCTTCACCCCTCCCGGGACGGGGGGAGGCTGATCTGGGTTCCCCAAGTGGCAGCATCGAACATCAGGTTTGGCTCACTCCGGGTCTTCTACGGGACGGAGTGACTCTGGCCGGCGCCGTGTCTCACGTGGAGATGTTCACGGACGCGTCGCTCGAAGGATGGGGCGGGGTCCTCGGCCAGAGTTCTGTAGGAGGCTGCTGGTCGGACTCAGCCCGTCACATCAACCTGCTGGAGATGGAGGCAGTGCACAGGGTACTGCTGCACTTTGCTCCTCAGCTGCAGGGGAGACACGTGATGGTGCGCTCAGAAAACACCACAGTGGTCTCCTATCTGAACAGGCAGGGGAGCACCAGGTCCCCCGCTCTCCATCGCATGGCAAAGGTGACGCTGCTGTGGGCGGCGCTTCACCTCCTGTCTCTCAGGGCGCGCCACGTCCCGGGGGTCCGGAACGTGGGGGCCGACAGGATGTCCAGGGGGGGGGGCCCACTCCAGGACGAGTGGGGCCTGGCCCCAGGGGTGGCTGCGGAGATCTGGCGGAGGTTCGGCCGTCCAGTGGTCGACCTTTTTTCGCCAGTGCAGGAAACGCAC